TGTCGTTCTCTATTCGGGTCCAGTCGGCTTCTTTTAGGTGGGAGCCTATCATTTTCTTAGTATTTTTGAGTGGTGGTTTATAAATATTTACTCCCATATGATTTTTCCATGACTTTTGGCTTAGCTTTTATTCATTTTGTCAACTACTAGCCATATATTGTGTTTGGCCTGGAAAATCTTCAAAGGTACGGCCTACGACTTGCTTTTCAATTGCCTGCACCTACTTTAATATATGTCTTCCTTAATTGTTTGCAATGCTTGAGTTTGTCATTCTTCCGCCATTTTCTTTTGTTTTGGCAAACCTGCGGTTTCTTACTTTTCATCTTAATTTGAACTTAATATTATAACTTTGGTATATTGTGAAAATAATTTCGTCGACAGAACATACAAGGTGGGACTGCATCGGTTCTAGGATATGATGAAAGAGAAGTATAGTCAATGTTTGTGGGTGGGAGGATGGTCGGATGACACAAGTGGATGGCCCTACGGGCGGGCGAACGACAGGTCCACGGTTAGGGTCAGAAGGAGCTGTTGAAGTCTGTTGATTGAATAGAAAGAATCATAATCATCGGAAAGAATCATTGTTGCACCAGTAAAAGATCAATGCCAATTTGGTAAGCACTTCAATTCATTTTGTTGATCATAGCCTGGTATTATTTGTTATATGTGCAAATATTTTTTATGGATGATGGATGTATGTTAGATAAGATTCTTGCTTTCATCAAGGGTTGTGTGACTGGAGTCGTTGATTGTATACTTCAATTTGGATAAAAAATATAAACTTGCCAATGGCAATGGTAAGTTTACTTTTTACCTATAAAATATAGTTAATATTATTATTACTATTTGGTTTTTTTTTTAGAATTTTATGCGTGGGACTTTTCATTCTGACCAGAATTTTTTTTTTCTTTTTTTTTGGTAATTATTATTATGGTGTTAGTTGGATGCTGATTTTTTTCTTCTCTCCTTTGGTTCCTAATTTAATGTAATTGATGGGAAGTTAAATATATAATATAAGGTATTGATATGGGGAATACTGCCTTGGAAACATGTAGGCTGCAAATAAAATTTGGCGTAATGATCTAAGTGTAGGTTGTGATTTCGTGATAAAAACAAGCTCATTATTATGGATTTTGCTCTGCTTTGAATTAGGTTTTGATCAGTTTCTCGAGATAACCTTTTGTCTATTGAGCTGGTCACTTAAGTTGAGGGCATGAACCAGTGATCATGAGGGACAACTTGCCGAGTGACAGATGCATATTGATAACCTTTTATATAATATTTTTTGGGGTACATGTTACTGTACATCATATATAGACTTGCTCATACGTTAAAAACTACTTATATATTAAAACAAGAAGGTTCTTGTGATAAGATTTCCCCTCTTTTAGTTTGTGTATGAAATCTACTTCCATGGGATGATGTCTTTATGTGGCGTGGGTATTTATATATTTATTCTGATACACATAGTATTTTTATAAGATTACAATTCCCAGATTTAATCATGATATGAATTGTGATTTCTGTGTTCGCAAAACTGCAAATACTTTTTGTGCCAATATAGATATAGCTATTCTGAATTCTGCATAGGTGATTCCACAAGTTCTCGTCATCTGTTATCATTTCTCCTAGACACGCGAATGATAATAGAAAAAGTTATGTTATAGGATTTCTGATGTAATTGTAAGAAGTACGGAACTTTGTCTTTAGAACGAGGGGCAATGAGCTAGCAATTTTGTCTAGGAATGAGGGACAATGAATTTCATAATGGGACTATGTTTAAAATTTTATATTTTGATTTTTTTTTTCATGGGTAGAAGTATTTATATCTGGAATATATGTGGCTTTTGGGTATTAAGTTTAATGCATATTATAGACATCATACATTTAGCCAAGACCCTAGCTTCAGTGGATCATAATTTGGTACTGATATGTACTTACAAGAACTACCTTTTTTATTTTATTTTATTTTATTTTCTATTTATAGAGTTGCTCTCTAGCTTTTTTATTTATTTTATTATTTTTTTTTTTTGGTTCTATTACGGCATTTTACATCATTAGAAAATTTTGAATTATAGAGAGGCTCAATAGTTTAGATAATGATGAGAAGAATGTTATAGGATCAGTGGTTGGGAAATTCTCTATGAAAGTTGAGGTCGATGAAAAGAGTTGTTCAAAAATTCAGTTTGACTTCCATGAAGAGTCCTCTTCTATTTGTGAGTATCGATGCTTACAAATAATCACTCAAAGTTTAAAACGTGTGTTGTGGCAGTTTTCGGAAGCCAGGTGATTGTTTTGACTAAATGCTTATGACTATGAAAAGCAAATAATTTATGTGGCATTGCAAATAAACAACATTGTTTCTATGTGCCAAATATATTTCTCAAGTTATATAGGTTAATATTCCTAGAGAATTCTGATTAATAGAATATATTACAGTTCAAGTATGATTTTAAACCAAATCTAAATTGTACTGTTTTTTATGTGACTGTCTCAGTCCACTCTTCAACCAAATCTAAATTGTATTAATTACCCTGACAATTTTCATAACCCGAAGACAGAAAATCATCATCAAGAAGAATGAAAATGGTTTCCTACTTCCCATAGCCATTAAATTTTCCAAGAGTGGCTTGAACTTTTATTCTTGAAGCTGATCGTTAATTTTTTTACTTCTATCAATTTATTTTTTATTATTGGTACTATTTGTTTTTATAGCTTGACGAAGTGAACTTATGCTTCATAATGGAATATATAGACTTAATGATACTTTGTTTGTCTATCTTATATAAAGCATATATATCAAATTTTTCATATTAGTTTATAATTCTGAGCTTCTTCTTTCTCACTCTTGCTAATGGTTAAATTTGAGGCACCACAGTGCGAGAAAGAAAATAATGTAGGGTCATAGATGCCATGACTTTGTAACTGAAAACAACATTGTTGAAATTTATTCGTGAGTTTACACAAATAGCACATGATGGAATTGAAATAATTATTCTTAAGGTTCTCCTTTAGTGCAACTTTGTGGCACTTTTTGGGTACATTGTTGAGTATATAGTAATCTTTTGCTTTTCAACGCAGCTTCTCAAATATTGTGTTAAAACAAAAAATTCTATTAACGCTTCTATAAATTGGTAGATATCTTATTAAATTATTGCATTTTTTAATTCCTTATGCATTGTTGTTAAGGTATTTAAATCTAGATTTATAAATGCCACAAAAGGTGGGTATGTGTATTTTTAAATTTTTCCAAATAATAGTTGTAATTATAGACTGAACTAGGACCGGCTGTGTGTGCACAGCCATCGACCAACTAGTACTGAATATATACTAACGTAAATGCAACATATACCCACCTGGACAGCTGCGTGAATTACAATACATGTTTTTATCTCTCTCTATTAAAAACGTACAAGCTGCGCGAATTAAGGAATTAAAGGAGTTAGTTATTTATTATATGCATGTTTTTTATTTCTCTCTCTTAATTAATCTCATAAAAGGGGGTGGAGGTTGAATGGATATAGTAACTGACTTTAGCCATTAATGCAGTTATATATTATCTATTAGATAAAGATGTAATTATTTGTTTTTGGATTGCATTTTTGCAAATTTTCATAATCTTATAGGATAGATGAAAATTCTCAAAACGAAAAACAACAATCAAAATGAAAAGTCTGAATCCGAACTGACAGGTGTCCAGACGAACAGTCTGCACCACAAAGTGGGCCAAAACACGAAAAATAGAAAATGGCTACTTGAATCTAAAAGAAGTGTACTCAATATAGTCCATTCCCAGAAGAGAACAGGGGTGGCTAGGGACGTCATAAGGATAGAAAATATGTCTCTGGGGGTGGAGACACCGAGACTGGCTAAGAAGTCAGTGGGTCAGTCCCCTCGCGAAAGATGTGCGAAATCCGGTAGTGAATCGACTGAAATATGGATCTGGTGCGCATGAGTGGATGTTGAATTTGCCACGAGCCCTGATGGCTCGAGGTCAAGAGGGTGACGACAGCAACATCATCCAACTCAATTCAAATGTGAGTAGATATAGAAGCTGCAATCTAAAGATCGATCTCGAGCGCCTGAGCCACCGCGTCGTAGCTCAAGGAGGCCTGAAGAGGGGCGTAGAAGGCAGTAATGAGAGCTCGCTGTGATCCTTAATCAGACCCCCGCCTCTGGTGACTCCGTGAGTCAGTCGAAAGATCCATCGATGTTCAACGTAACGCAAAGGGAGTCGAGTCTCAGCCAAACACCAACTATTTTGTCATATTGTTTTATTTATATATCAAAATTCTATTACCAAACTCAACCTTTTTTAAGATTTTACGAGGTTCTTCACGGCAATAGGCGAAATTTTTTATTTTGAAATTAAAATAATTTAAAGAAAAATGACATTGAAAAAATAAAAGTGGTATAATCTGCTAGATTAGTCCACATCAACGTAGTCAACGCTGATTGTCAACTCAACAACTTCTTATCAAAAAATTCCAGCAATCGAAGTCGAAATAGAACTCAATTGTTAGAAAGTCATTTTCATCTTCTTTTTGTTCATTCCTACATTGACATGATGCAATGGTCTCATTATTATATTTTAATACAAAATTAATCGCCAAAAAATTTTAACATCACATGCATGACACGTATACTTTATTAGTACTACTTGATACGGATAAAAAGATATAATAGCATTAACAAAAGTGTCGCATATTATCTATATCTATCTATCTATAATCTATCTATAATCTATAATCTATCTATAATCTATATCTATAATCTATCTATCTATCTATCTATAATCTCCCTTAAAAGTATGAGTTGTTTCTTGAAACTTTTGAATTGCTAAAAATATCCTCATAAAAAGATAAATGTTAAGGTTATTAATGTAATTTTCTTATTCATGTTAGGAAGTTACAACTTTTAATTAATATATTTTACTTTTGATTCTTAATTATATCTTTAAGTTCTTACACATACAAAACATTACCTACACAAATTAATATATTTTATATAATAATTTATTCTTAATTATATTATTCTTAATTAATCTACATATGATGTTAGGTTTCGATTTGATTATTTTAAAGGCAGTTTTAAAATGTAAGAGAAAAAATTATTTTAAGATTTCTTAAATAAAATATATGATATTTCATAAGTGTGAAATATATAATGTACCACTAAAAGTATCATCTTTAATTTCTAAATATTGTATTGTTTACCAAACAAATTTTTGGTTATAGTATTAAAACAATTAAACAGGAATAATTCAGTGAACATTCATATGTTTAAGAATGATTAAATCAAATATAATTATTCAACATACAAAATGTCAACTTTCTATGGAAAAAAGTTATTTGTTAAGTAAAAAAGCTATGATCTTAACATAAGTATTTGTTTAAATTATTCACTAAAACAATATGCATAATATGATTTATGTTTACCTCTTAATAGTATGTATAGTATAAATGATTTTTATAATAATATGTTACATGAGTTAAAATAGCATTTACTGAATTGTAATATAAACAAAAATAGATTAATTACAGAAATAAAATAAAATAACTAAAATTCTATTTTAAATCTTGAATTTTATCATACGTGTACTTATTAGAAAATAGTTACAATTAAAATTAATTAAATAAAAATAAATAGTGAATTTACTTTAAATATGAATCATTCATTAAAACTAGACTCATTAAATTTTCACATTTAGGATAGTCTTGAAAATCTGTGAACGAAGATAATGCATGTATGACAATTTTAGAAGATGCAACAATAAATTATGTTGGACAAGATATGTAGATAGATGAGTGTCTTTAATCAATAAAGATGTTATTATTCCTAAGCTTTTTCATGTAATTTTTTTTTAAATAATTATGACTTTAAAGACATTTTTAAATATTTATGTCTCTTATGTCATTATGACTAGAGAAAAATTATATATATCTAGATATTATGAAATGTTATATTTGCAAATATGGCTAATTGCAACCACTATAATCAAAATAATTGAGAACGAATTATTCAAACATAATGTTTTAGCTTCCAATCTACAATAAAAAAAATGATCATTATAAATTATAGTTATAACAAATTCGAATTATTTTTTAAAGAGTATGATGCAAACGAATGACATTAGAAAACTATATTTGATGACAACATTAATGATAATTATTTTAAGCAAAAGTAGGGATGAAATGTTGACGAAGATATAAAAATAATGTTAAGATAAAAATAA